CCATTCAAGTACCACTCAAATGTCATATGTCTGTGTGTGTGTGTGTGTAAATGCCAGGCAGCGGGTACAAGAGATGGGGAGGACGTTCCAGGCAGAGGAAGTAGTGCATGAAGCTACAAGGAACAAGAAACAGAAATGCAAAATGGCATCGCTGCTTCAGGAAACTTTAAGTGTCAGTACAAACAAAATGCAAAGTACTGACAGATAAGAAATTATTAACATATTAATAATAACAGTTGACAAAACCCAGAATAATTTTTTCCGTCAAGCGGCAAGGTGGATTTTACCCTACAGTTTGTGAGATACTGTCATAGAGAAGCACCTGATTTGGTTTATACTGAAACAATCACATTGAGAAATTATTATTGACCCCAGAGAAATAAAAAGGATTATAAGAGAATACTATGAACTGTATGCCAACAAATCAGATAACTTAGATGAAATGGACAAGTTCCTAGAAACACATAAATAACGAAAACTGATTCAAAAAGAAATAGAGTAACTCCAGAGACCAATAATAAATAAAGAGATTGTATCAAATAAAAAACCTCCCAGGGCGCCTGGGTGGCTCAGTCAGTTAAGCGTCTGACTTCGGCTCAGGTCATGATCTCACAGTTCGTGAGTTCGAGCCCCGCATCGGGCTCTGTGCTGACAGCTCAGAGCCTGGAGCCTGCTTCAGATTCTGTGTCTCCTCCTCTCTCTGACCTTCCCCTGTTCATGCTCTGTCTCTCTCTGTCTCTCAATAATAAATAAGCGTTAAAAAATTTTTTTAAATAATAAAAAAAAACCCTCCCAACAAAGGAAAGTCTGGAATCAGATAGTTTCATGGATAAATTGCACCAAACATTTAAAGACTTAATACTAATCCTTTCAAACTCTCCCAAAAATAGAAGTGGACAGAACACTTTCTAATTCATTCTGTGATGCCAGCATTAACTTAATACCAAAGCTAGACAACGATATCACAAGAAAAGAAAACTAAAAGCCAATATCCCTTTTGAATATAGATGCAAAAATCCTCAAACGAATGAAAAACAAAAATTCCAACAAGCCAAATTCAAAAGTATATTAAAAGGATTGCCAACAAAAAAAAAGAAAGAAAGAAAGAAAGAAAAGAATAAAGAAAAAAAAGGCAGGGCATGGATGGCTCAGTCGATTAAGCATCTGATTTCAGCTCAGGTCATGATCTCATGATTTGTGAGCTCAACACCAGCATGGAGCCTGCTTGGGATTCTCTCATTCCCTCTCTCTCTCTGTCCCTACTCTGCTCGTGAGCTCTCTCTCTTTTTTGTCTCTCAAAAACAAAAAAAACAAAAAGCAAAAAACAAAAACAAAAAAACCAAAAAGCAAAAAAACAAAAACATCACAAGTCACGACCAAACGGGATTTATTCAGACTGCAATGGTAGTTTCACATAAAATCAAACAATGTAATAAACCATGTTAATAAACAAAAGACTAAAAAATGATCATCTCAACTGATGAAGGAAAGCCACTGACAAAATCCAACAACCTGTATTGATAAAAATACTTAGAAAACTAGGATAGAAGGTTGCTTCCTCAACATAATAAAGGGCATTTATGAAAAACTCATAGCTAACATCATATGGAATGGTGAAAAACTGCAAAATAATGCAAAAGAATAGACCCCTACTTCATACCATATACAAAAAAATTAACTTAAAACAGATCAAAGACCTAACTGTAAGAGCTAAAACTATCACACTCTTAGAAAAAAAAACATGACAGTAAATCTTCATGGCCCTGAAATTGGCAATTCTTATATCTGACAACAACACCATGCTGAGAAAAAGAAAAAAAAAAACATAAATTGGATTTCAACATTTAAAAGTTTCATGAATCAAAGGTATTATTACTAAGTGAAAAGATAACTTAGAAGATACTTGTATATCATATATCTGATAAGAGCCTAGTATCTAGAATATACAAAGAACTCTTATACTCAACAACAAAAAGACAAAATTTTAAAATGGGAAGAGGACTTGAACAGACATTTCTCCAGAGAAAAATACAAACTCCAACAAACAAGCATATAGAAAGATGCTCAGTATTGTTAATCCTTTTGGAAATTTAAATCCAAACCACAATAAGATATCACTTCATATGCCCCATGGTGACTATAATTTTACAAAACAGAAAATAACAAGCATTGACAAAGATGTGGAAAAAATTGGTATTCTTGTGCATTGCTGGTGGGAATATAAAAATGGTGCAGTTTCCATGAAAAACAGTATAGCAGTTCCCCAAAAAGTCAAATATAGAATCACCATATGACACAGTAATTCTACTCCTAGGTATATACCCAAAATAATTTGCTTTTAAGACAGAGAGACAGGGGCGCCTGGGTGGCTCAGTCGGTTAAGCATCCGACTTCGACTCAGGTCATGATCTTGCGGTTCGTGAGTTCAAGCCCTGCGTCAGGCTCTGTGCTGATGGCTCAGAGCCTGGAGCCTGTTTCAGATTCTGTGTCTCCCTCTCTCTCGGACCCTCCCCCGTTCATGCTCTGTCTCTCTCTGTCTCAAAAATAAATAAACATCAAAAAAATTTAAAAAAAGAGAGAGAGAAACAGAGAGACAGAGAGACAGAGACAGAGAAAATGCATATGAGTGAGTGGGGGAGGGGCGAAGGGAGAGGGGAAGAGAGACTCTTAAGCAGGCTCCACTCCCAGCACATAGTCCAATGTAGGGCTTGATCTCAGAATGGTGAGCTCATGACCTGAGCCGAAATCAAGAGTAAGATGCTCAACTGACTGAGACACCCAAGTTCCCCCACCCCTGCAAAGAATGCAAAACAGGTACTTAAATACTTTTATGCATATGTTCCTCACAGAGCAATACACAATAGCCAAAAGGCAGAAACAACGTAATGTTCATCAGTGATGGAGAGATAAACAAACTGTGGTATACACAATGGAATATCATTCGGCCATAAAAAGGAATGATGTACAGACACATGCTACAATGTAGATGAACCTTGAAAACATTATGCTAAGTAAAAGAAGCCAGTCACAAAGGTCACACATGGTATGATTCATTTACATGAAATATCCAGAATAGGTAAATCTGTAGAAATGAAAGGAGATTGGTAGCTGTCAGGGTCTGGAGAGAGAGGGGATTAACTGCTGAATGGGTATGGAGTTTTATTTTGGGACATTAATGTTTTAGAAGGAGATAGAGGTGATGGTTGCACAACATTGTTAATGCACCCAATGACAATGAATTGTTCACTTTAAAATGGTTGATTTTACATTCTGTGAATTTCGTCTCAATTAAAAAAAAAGACATTACCCTGGCAGGGTAAAGAACACACACATTGGAGATTGAATGTAATAAAACACAGGGAGGAGCCAGGCTATGCACTGCTAGTGGGAAAAGAAACTGAGAGGAAGTAATAGATTTGAGAGTTATTCAGGAAAGAGGAAGATTGGGAATGAGAGAGAAAGGATGACTTCTATTCAGAATGAGTGGGTTAAGAGGATAAGATTTTGGAACAAAGACAGCCAGTCCTTTACAAAGCAGGATGCATTTCAAGGAGGTCTGGGAGGCAGTAAACTTGGATCGATAGTCAATGGACTAGTTTGGGCCACAGATCATGATCAGAGAGTTTTGAAAATATGATAGAAGTAGATGGAATAGAAGGAAAAAAATCATGTTTGTAAAATTATAGGTTTTTAAAAAAATAACATCGTGGTCCAGTTTAACTTAGAAAGTACTCAACAAAAATATCTAGCATAAATGAAAGTTGAATTGAATGTGATGGTAGGCAGATGTCTGTACACAGTCAATATTTAATTTCTATCTCCCATCAGCTATTTGTGCAGTTGTACAATTAAGTAATCTAAAGAGGTTGTGCCTATATGGAAATGTTTCCAATAAAAGCATTGACGAATTAAGCCAACTGAAATTATTAAGCAGGAGCTGTACCTCCAGTTCAGGATCGAGTTCTACATGTGCACATTTCTTTCTCTACGATACTTCTTGCCTTAAAGAAGTTCACTGTTCATAAAGGTACTTTTATGAGTAAGCCCACTGGGAGTACATTGTTGCCTTAACCTTACCACCAAAGTTTCATGGAAGGACAAGGAAAACATCTTGTGTTTGTGAGCTTCCTTTCATGTGGACTGCTTACCCTACACTTATCCGTTGGGATATGCCAATGGGACTAAGTACTCGAGTTTCCCTCCACATTTAAAGAGCATTCTGTACTGTGCAATTTTACACACTACAACTTTAATGTTTCTTCTTACATTGAGCTACATTAATACTCTTTTTGCTATTTTTGTATAAGAAATAAGCATCCAAGTGTTTTCCCTAAAGCCTGTGTCAATCTTCTATCAACTGTCAATCTTACACAGAATGGTGACACTGTTCACTGAAAAACCATTTTTTTCCTAGATTAATTAACATTCAGATTAATTTTATTGAGTGTGGTAGTATTTTTCCTTTCATAAATACTGTAAACAACTAAGTTGATAATTTTCAATTCAAATGTCATACACAGAAAATCTAAACAATTAGCAACATTATTTAAATAAAGGAGTTCATTCATGTTTTAGAAACTCATTGTTTGGCTGTAGCAAAATAAGTAATATCTATGGCCTGGTAAATCTCTGGTTTAACTGCCACTAACCTGTCAAAGATTTGGAAAGACATATGAAAGCTGCCTGGAATCATCATGAGTTTATACCTTGAAAGAACAACTCAATTGCATTAAAACTTTGGGTTTTAATGTGCCTTAAAGAAAATCGGTTAATCTGCTGCTAGTAAACTAGGATGAACAAAATTATGACAAAGTGGTTATATGGATTACATCAAAAGATGCAGGCAGCACAAGGCATTAACAGAAAGACCAGCACTGCAAAACAACACACACCCATCCATACACACCCAGGTGCGCAGATGCCTTACTCGCACACATGTACACAACACACGCATCTGTCACCGGAGGACACTGACGGAAGAAAAGAGGAACCAAACTCACATCACACTGAAAAGGCTTTTCTCCGGTGTGCGTCCTCTTGTGCTCATCCAGGCCTCGCTTCTGGCTGAAGGCTTTGCTGCAGTCTGAGCACTTGTAAGGTTTCTCCTGCAGTCAGCGACAAGAGATCGCCATGAATTTAAGGGAACATAAAGCCCTCCTTATAAAGGTGTATGTGGTGTGTGTGTGTGGGGGGGTATTTTATCTAGTTTCGTCGGGTGCTGCAGCAAATCCATGGGGTTCCAGAAGTTATTTTCAGGGGAAACAGCACTACTCGACATCTGCTGGACAAACTGAACTACTAGCTCATGGCAGTTCACAGCCCCAACATTAGACTGCACCACTTTTCTTTGGGAAGCAAGGTCCTGAATGATTGCCATGATCTAACTACTCAAAGAAGTGAACTCTTAAGTTTTCTTTTGGTCTTTGGGGTCACAAAAATTTACTGAGATATTCGAGACCCTTGATCTAGATGGTGCAACTTGTTTACTATCTTGGAGGAATTCCTGGGAATGAAAACTTCAGAACAAAATTTTCATCAGATATGGGGTAAGTTTAAAAAGCTACAGCTCGGGGCGCCTGGGTGGCGCAGTCGGTTCAGTGTCCGACTTCAGCCAGGTCACGATCTCGCGGTCCGTGAGTTCGAGCCCCGCGTCAGGCTCTGGGCTGATGGCTCAGAGCCTGGAGCCTGTTTCCGATTCTGTCTCCCTCTCTCTATGCCCCTCCCCCGTTCATGCTCTGTCTCTCTCTGTCCCAAAAATAAATAAACGTTGAAAAAGCTACAGCTCAACTGTGGTTTAAGTATTTTCATTTTTATTGCCCAATCTTTCTTCTTACGTAGGATGTTCTTTTGTAACATCTAAATTATGTTTTTAAATGAGGTATTTTTTAATTGTTTGTCATAGGCTCTTAAGGAAAAAAAATGTCTTCACAGGAGAAGAAAAAGTGTTCACATTCCTCAGCCAACTTTGATACCAAGAATTTGTTATCACCAGCCTTTTTGCTTAGAATATAGATTAACATTGTTCCATTAAAACAGCCAGTCATTATCAAGCAGTGCATAAATAAAAAGGTTTGAGGGAAAAAAGTAAGATTTCTTTAAAGTAAACTTGCAATGAGATTTTTTTCAAATACATCTTCAAAAATGTTATAAAGTTTTTAAAATTGAGGTAGTGTGTGTGTGTGTGTGTGTGTGTGTGTGTGTGTGTGTGTGTTCGTATTTAATTTCATGTTATGTAGACAAGCTCCATACACATTTTCTCCTTAGTATTTAAAAGAATATTATAAAAATTGTCAGGCCTAAAAAAATGGTATGTAAAGAATGAAACAGATATATGTGTGTGTCCACTGGCTAGGTCTTACAAAATCAAACATTACTAGTGCAGGTGTCCCTCTCAACTCCCTCCCCCAACCCCTCCACTCCCTAACTGCAGCACCTGCCCACTTCCTCAGAGGTGACCACAGTGCTGGATGGTGAACTTATCAGTCCTTTGCTTTTCTCTCTGTTTTTACTGCACGTGTATGGAAGGATCTCTAAACAAGACTTAGCATTATTTTGCTTTTTAAACGTATTTAAATAGCATCACACTGCATATAAACTTTGTGAGTTCTTTTGAAAGTTACTTAGTTTTGCTCAACATAATCTTTATGGGCTTCTAGTCCTCAATTTTATTTTGTGAACATATGTAGTTCCTACTCATTCATTTTTAGTATCATATAGTATTACATTCAATGGCTACACCACAATTTGCTTATATACATTATCTAGTGATGGGCAGTTCATTTTTTACCAATTTTTCACTCTTACTTTGCTCTGAATTTTTTTGTATGTGTATACTTGAATGCAGAGAAGTGTAATTCCCTGTGGTGTGTGTATCTAGAAGTGGGTTGCACCTTCAACTGTTTTAGGAATGTCCAAAGTCTACAAAGTGGATAAACCATTTTATACTCCAAAATGCAGTATAAATGTATCAAATCAATATGTTGTACCCTTTAAACTTATATAATGTGATAGGTCAATTATACCTTAGTTTAAAAGAAGGAGGCAAAAAATAATACAGTATTAGTGTTTGCTTGGTATATCCATTTTTTTACTTTCAAACAGTCTATATCCTTAGATATGAGGAATGTCTCCATAAATAGCATCCAACTGGATTTTTTTTCAAACCATACTTGTATCACTTTTGTTAAGATAACAAGTTTTGCTTCTTAATCTTCATTAATATGTATTATCATTTATTATTATAATTATCATTATAATATATAATTAATGTATCTATATATTAATATGTGTTATTACTCATGTATTTGAATATATTTCTTTGTTTTAAATATATCTGAATATATTTCTAACATTTTATTTTGTGCATTGATTTTATCTTGCTTGTTTTCAAAGTTCTTTTCCCCCTATAATATCTTGTATGTTTTGGATTGATAACTTTCCCCCTGTATTATCATAGAAGTTATGAACACTATTTCTATCTTCTTAGTGGTTATCCTTAACAGTTCTACCATGTACATTGAACACAGCTTAAAGATTATCTATGTTTTCCCTTCTACTGAATAACAAGTCCTGTAGAATGCTCCTGTCTTAGAGGTTATGTGTAATAGTGTTTTATTTGTATCTTTATTTTTAATGCCCAATATGGAATCATTATTACTTTACACAATCAGTATGGTTTAGTTTCACACATGCTTAAAAATTTCTTTACTTTTCATGCTTTCTTGCCTATCTGACCTTCGCAGGATCTGATGATGGTAAATTCCATTTTTATTTGATTGAAAATGACTTTATTTCTTATTTGTTATTGAAAGTCAACAAATCCAACTATATGTATAACAGACCCTATTTCTCATGTCTCTTAACCTCCCTTTACCATTTCTATTGTTTTGTATTGTACTGTATGCAAGTTCTTTAGAATCAGTTGATCAATTATCTTCAGGTATGAATAAATTGTTAATAGAATCATTTGATTTTTAATTTGTATTATATTTTAATTTTTTTAAAGTTTTTCTTTGGTTCTTTTCAATTATGCTTCATTGTGGATAAAATCTTTTTTACTCATGTTCTTATGTGTATTTAAACAAATATTCTAGGCATTTATATAATTTACTTCATCTGATAAATCATTATCTTAAGCTTTTTGGATATCTAATTCTGCTATTTGTGGTTTCTCCTGTCTCCTGTTCATGGCTCTTGTTTCCTTGGGTGTTTCTGGAATTTGGAATCATGGGCTCATGTTTGGTGGTCTTTATCTGTTAAAATGCTGTGACCCCAAAGTTGAGGGTAAGTCCCTTCAGACAGCATTGTGTTTGCTTCTGCCAGGCATTCTGGGATGCTATCAATCAAAGACCATTTTAAGTTTATTTCTTGCCTTAGGGTTTTCTGGTCAGGGAAGTATTTTAAGTCTGAACTCTAAACACACTTGAGGCAAAGACTGTGGTTATAAACTCTAAGGAGAACTCTTTTCTCTAGCCAGCAATTACTGAGACAGTTAGATGTCCCAAACACCTCTGTTTGCCAAAGGTAGATGATTTCCAGTCCCTGACTTCATTTTGAGTGTGGTTTTTCTAGGGTCTCAGCACTGTGGTGGGATGTGGTTCCATCTTGCCCCTATAATCTAAGCCCAGAACTTGCCTCCCTTTCCATCACCATTCAAAACCAAAGCTTGAATTTACAGATACTGACAAACACCTTGTAAGGTGCTACATTCTCAATGTGATCATTCTGGCACTCAGCTTCAGTTTTGTTTGTTGGATTCTGGGGATTACTGTTACCTTTTTCTTTTTTAAGTTCAGGTATTTGCTATTTGCTTTACTATATCCAGCATGGATAGAGTTTTGTATAAGGTCTCTGTGTTTTATTTTTTAAGTTTTATTTATTTATTTTGAGAGAGAGAGAGAGAGCATGTGTCTGCGTGAGCAGAGGAGGGGCAGAAAGAGGGAGAGAGAGGGAATCCCAAGCAGGCTCTTCACTGTCAGCGCAGAGCTCAATGCGGGGCTCAAACCCACAAACTGTGAGATCATGACCTGGGCCAAAACCAAGAGCCAGACACTTAACCGACTGAACCACAAAGCCCCCCAACTTTCTTAAAGTTTTATTTATTTATTTTGGGGGGGGGGAACTCTGTATTTTAAATGACTGTTCAAAGTTAACAGAAAAAAATGCATTTTCTTGGCAGTCCAAAAAATATATTTTTTTCATTTAGTCTAGATCAACACAATCTCTTTTCACATATTGCATAACCTTTGGTGCCTATTATTTCTTGAAATATTGACCAGTATAAAAAAAAAAAAAAACACACACACACACACACACAACTTGAAAATGTAGTTGTTAAGTATTTAAATTAGAAATTTCTTAGGGTTGCTGGGATTTATTATATCTAAATGTTTTACTTACCTAATATTTTAAAAACATATAAGGAGATACTCATATGATGTATATGAGAAGAAAAACAGGAAAGCTTTTCGCTCTACAATTTATCTAGAAAACAAGATCTTATGAAGAAGTGAGAGGCACATCACTGCAGCGGCTGCAAGGACAGGTGAGTGTCTGGCAGAGAACAACCCAAGACCAATTATCTGGATGACGTCCTAAGAGGGTAATAGGAGGTTTCCGGGAAGAAAAGCCGTGAAAAACAACATCTCAGCATCATTGATTAAGAACATCCTTCTCACTCATTCCCAAATCTCCTCTCAGGAAGTACTTAACTGTCTAGGTGAGTACCCTGCAGTGCCCCACGGATACTGAGAAAGGTTCTGAGCCAGTGTATGGAGATTCTAGTGAAGCGCTCTTGCGGTTATCATGCGAGTTTTCAAAAAACCCAAATGTGTGTTATGCATTGCCTTGCAGTGAATAAATAATGTTTTACACACACACGTATATCCACCCACTCATATACTGGCATTTTTCAATGGTTTATTAACACTATTGGTGATTATTTCAATACGCTTTATTTACAAATGTCACAGAAATTGTATTACCTTCACCTATGTGTTTTCTCCCATAAAAGACGCTGAAAGTACAATAACTATCACGTGTTTCTGTGCGTGTGTTGGCAGGAAAGCTGGGGCTGAAACTTATAATGTTAGAGAGGTTCCTCCAA